TCGATCCTGGGACTTACTGTGGCCCAGGAGGGGCAGGTGGAAGAAAAGTTAGAGGAGTGGTGTGGGTGACGAGGAGTGGCCGCCCTAGTCAGGTGATTTCTGTTGTGTTTTGAAGGCGGAGGGCGCTGTGTGAATCACCGCTTTAGGGCGGGCGATGTGAGCTTGTGGGCGTGGACGTGGGTTTCGGCTTCGGCGGGGGTGGGCGCGGAATGCGAGGTGTCGCTGCTTTAGTCAGATGATTTCCATGGTGTGTTTGAAGACGCGCGGCGCTGTGCGAATCACTTCTTTAGGGCGGGTGATGTCAATTTGCGGGCGTGGACGCGGGTTTCGGCGGTGTCTGTCGGGGGGGGGGGTGTCTCGATGCGGTGGCGCGTAACGGGCGAGAATGCGGGTGTGGGGGCCTCTGTCAGGTTAGTGTGGCCCAGCCACGCTAGCGCGGATCACGTGCGTCGATCTCGCCGATGTCGTGCTGATGTAAGGGCCGTCCAGCGATACTTCGTTCCACGTCCCTCTGTGAGATGTCTTGTCGCTGCTCTGTGATTCTCGTTGCGGCGCCCCAGGCCGTGGAGTCAGGCATGGGGGCGATGTTCAGGCAGATTGCGGACAGGGCCGCGATGCCGCGGCCATAGCCGGGGGGGGGGTCCGGGGTGGAGGAGTACTTCATGTCGGCAGTGGGCCTCTAGGGCAACAGTCATGTGTTCGAGCGGTCTTCGTCGCGGTGCGAGATCGACTGGTCTGGTCCGCTGGGCCATCAGGGGCATTGCTGGTTCCGCTGGCTTTCGCCGGGCTTGTTTGGGCAGCAGCGCGCCTGGTGGCCGGGGCGGCGGGCGCGCGCGCCGAGGCCGCAGCGCGTGCAGGGCGTCCTCCAGGATCTCCTGCAGCAGTGGAGGAGCTCGGCGTCGGCCGACGACTACCGCGAGGTGCGTTTGTTAACGTGGGGATTGAATTCCCTTCATATGTTTATAGATCCAATCGGGTTTTTTTGTTTTCTCTGGACTTCGCGGCGCAGCTCCGAAAGTTGCCGTTTCTTTCTGTCAAAGGGGCGGGAAGGTGCGGTGGGCAATCGGCAGAGGAGGCAGAGGGGTGCTTGTCGGAGGCAGGAAGCAGGAGAAGGATTCCCAAAACTACAGTAACCGCGAGTTGTATGATGTTCATCACTCCCAGGCAGCCCCAGAATGTTGTTATGCGGGGTTGCATCGTTGGAGTACTCTGAAGTATTAATCAATCGCTTCGTTGATGCCGCTGGCTCATATTGTAGTATCGCTGGCATTTGTCCGGTGCTCGTTTGGGCATTGCGGGGGTCTCGGGGCGATTTGGGGGGTTCTTTGGGGTCGACTGGCAGATTATATCGAGGGCTTCCTTAGGGAAGTTGGAATGCTTTCGGGGCTCTTCGGAGGCCTTGAGGGTGGCGCACAGGAGCAAAACCATCTCCGACGGGAATGTTCTGGAAATGTTCCGGGGACCTTAGGAGCCGCATTGCGTTCGTTATCTAGAAGTATACTGAGGCAGTGACGGGAGACGTCAGCACGCCTTTGGCCGGTTGGGCTGGCGCATTCATTATTGTGTTCTTTTTGTCAGTTCAGGCAGCGAAGAAGAGGCGCAAGGGTGCGGCGTGAGTGCTGCGCGGAGTGCGTTCATGAGTTTGTGGGCGCCATCACGTGCGCGGGCTCGGTGGGCACCCATAGGGCCTTGCGCTGGACAGAGCGTTACGACGGCGCGTCGTCCTAGGAGTTGGGGAATTTAATTGAACTCAGTTTGGGGGTGCGACTTTCGCGTGAGTTCTGGAGGGGAGTGTGATGCGGTTTGGGTTGTGCGGGCGCTTCATGGCATGGAGGAGCCACGGTGTTTGCGGAGGGTGTGCGGTCCTGAGGGGGATTGCCTCAGTGCGAGGCTCGCACGCGGCATGCCTGGCGGATGCTGCGGGTGCGGGCGCCAGCCTCGCGTAGGTAGCGTCGTGTATACTATCGCGCCGACAGGCGGGATTGACGTCAGCTGGCGTCGACAGGTGCCCTCCGAATGCATGTGTTCTTTTTCGTTTGGCAGTGCGTCAGTCGGTTAGCTCCTGATGAGATGCGAGGGTGGCGTTGCGCTCCCGGTGGTCGCACTTGCGCGCGGCATGGGTAAATGCTGGAGCCGCGGGTGGGCATGTGATTTAAAATATAATCCGGGCGAGCGCGCGCGGCGCGCGCCCGCCTCGTGCGGCGTCTGGTGCGCGGCCTGGCTCGCTCGGCGGCTTGGTCCGCGAGGGCTAAGCTGGTGCCCTCGCGGCGTTGCGCAGCCGGTTTTCAGCCGCAGGGGGGCTTAGTTGACGGGCCTAACGCCTGTGACGGCTTCAAAGAAGCCTCGCTCGGCGGCGCACGACGACGCCGACAAGACGAGAACGTTCGACGCCGCGATGACGACCGCTGCCGGGTGGGCCAGTAGCTTGTTTCGCCTTCGACCCAATTCCACCCCTAACTCCTTCTGTGTGGATAGATACTGTGTTCTTTCCCTTGTGGCTGTTGCTTGCGCTCTCTCCACTCGTTCGAGTCTTGGTTCCGCTCGACCGACTCGAGCCCGCCGTCGGGCGCCCGCCGCGAAATTGGAACCGCGTCGGGCGCCCGACGCGGTTCCAATTTCGCGGGGCGCGGCGGATGTTGGAACCGCGGCCCGCGAAATTGGAACCGCGGATTTAGGTTTTAGGGTTAGGGTTTAGTGTTAGCTCTTTGTCGACGACGTCGTATTCGTTGTCGTCGACGTCGTAGTCGGCGTCGTCGTCGTGGGGGCAGGAGAATCCCCGGAGTTGTTTGGGGAGGGGTCGCGTGGATGCGAATTTTAGAACATTCTGGTGAGTTTGGAGTGGAAACTTGTGGTTGTCCGTCGGTCTCTGCGTTTGGGTTCGGGCTCAGGGGTTTGGGTTAGGGTTAGGGTTAATGGGGCGTCGACGGCGGTGGTGGTGGGCGACGGCGGTGGTGGGCCAGGCGCCTCCCGCCTACAGCCCTTCCGTTTCCTGAGTTGGTGGTTTCCCGAGTTGCGACCGGCGTTTTCCGAGTTGCGACCGGCGTTTCCCGAGTTGCGACTTCCCGTGCACGGACTCATTTTTCCGGGGTTGCGACGTCGACCCTTCTGAGCCGTCCTGGGGCGACCTCGGGGGCGTCAGAGGGCGTCTTGGAGCGTCGGACAGGCGGGAAAGCGAGTTTGCTTAAAATGTACGTTTTACGGAAGGCATGGGGCCATTTTTGCGTCTTGGGACCCTGCTGGGGCACATCTTCGGGGCACCTTGGGGGTCTTAGGGGGTTCTAGGGCGACCTCCTGGGAGCTCCTGAGGGCCTTTTGGTTGCCTTTTGGATCGTGGTCCCCCTCCCGGCCCTCTCGTGGGCTCGTTTTCAGTCGGCCTTGGGCCGTGTCGGGTGCGTTTGGGGCCGTCCGGAGGCCCTCTGGGACAATGTGGGGGCCCTCTTGAAGGCCTTCTGGGCCGTCCTGGGGCGACCTCGGGGGCGTCAGAGGGCGTCTTGGAGCGTCGGACAGGCGGGAAAACGAGTTTGCTTAAAATGTACGTTTTACGAAGGCCATGGGGCCATTTTTACGGCTGGGGACCCTGCTGGGGCACATCTTCGGGGCACCTTGGGAGTCTTAGGGGGTTCTAGGGCGACCTCCTGGGAGCTCCTGAGGGCCTTTTGGTTGCCTTTTGGATCGTGGTCCCCCTCCCGGCCCTCTCGTGGGTTCGTTTTCAGGCGGCCTTGGGCCGTGTCGGGTGCGTCTGGGGCCGTCTGGAGGCCCTCTGGGACAATGTGGGGGCCCTCTTGAAGGCCTTTTGGGCCGTCCTGGGGCGACCTCGGGGGCGTCAGAGGACGTCTTGGAGCGTCGGACAGGCGGGAAAGCGAGTTTGCTTAAAGTGTACGTTTTACGAAGGGCATGGGGCCATACATCTTCGGGGCACCTTAGGGGCCTTAGGGGGTTCTAGGGGGACCTCCTGGGAGCTCCTGAGGGCCTTTTGGTTGCCTTTTGGATCGTGGTCCCCCTCCCGGCCCTCTCGTGGGCTCGTTTTCAGTCGGCCTTGGGCCGTGTCGGGTGCGTCTGGGGCCGTCTGGAGGCCCTCTGGGACAATGTGGGGGCCTTCTTGAAGGCCTTCTGGGCCGTCCTGGGGCGACCTCGGGGGCGTCAGAGGGCGTCTTGGAGCGTCGGACAGGCGGGAAAGCGAGTTTGCTTAAAATGCACGTTTTACGAAGGGCATGGGGCCATTTTTGCGTCTGGGGACCCTGCTGGGGCACATCTTCGGGGCACCTTGGGGGTCTTAGGGGGTTCTAGGGGACCTCCTGGGAGCTCCTGAGGGCCTTTTGGTTGCCTTTTGGATCGTGGTCCCCCTCCCGGCCCTCTCGTGGGCTCGTTTTCAGGCGGCCTTGGGCCGTGTCGGGTGCGTCTGGGGCCGTCTGGAGGCCCTCTGGGACAATGTGGGGGCCTTCTTGAATGCCTTCTGGGCCGTCCTGGGGCGACCTCGGGGGCGTCAGAGGGCGTCTTGGAGCGTCGGACAGGCGGGAAAGCGAGTTTGCTTAAAATGTACGTCTTACGAAGGGCATGGGGCCATTTTTGTGTCTGGGGACCCTGCTGGGGCACATCTTCGGGGCACCTTGGGGGTCTTGGAGGCTAAGGAGAGCGTCTGGGGACCATCGCCGGCGTCTGGGGTCGATATTCCAACGATTCGCGGCCTCTTGGACCGCGTGTGGGGGCGTCGTGGTGCCCTCTTGGAGCATTTTGGGGCGTTCCCCCCCTCCCTTGGCGCGCATTGTCCGGGACCTCGCGCGGCCCGGGGGGGGGGGTCAAATTCGAGGTTTGGGGTTCTTATGGGGGGGATTATGGGGGGGAACAATCTCACACGCCTGAGGACCCACAAGGGGCCGGCGGATTCCCAGGCTTCAGAGGAGGAAAAGGTACCCATACCTCTACCCTCCCCTCGTCCTCCCCTTTTGGGGCCTCCTGGACCTCCCTCGTCGCCAGCGACTGGATTCGCTTCGAAATCCTGGTCAGCACGCGCCCCAGGAGAGGTCTGGGGAGCAGCGGCATCGGTACCTGTTGGTTCCCCCAAGGGTGGCCCGCGGGAACCCTTGCGCGGGCTTGGGGCTCCAGTGCTCCGTGCTGGGCAGGTCGTCCGCTGGCCGTGGGGGCGCCGCACTGGGCTTCGGCGCCCTCGGCCCTGGCGGGTGTCGCAGGCCCGATGGGCTGAGGCTTCCCGGGTCTCTGGCTCCGTGGGCTCGCGACCTGCCCGAGCTGCAGAGGCTCGTCACGCGGGTCTCCGAGCCCCGCCCAGGCAACGGCACGTCGGGCCAGCCCCTGGCCGGGGCGCTCACGGCGCTCGAGCTGCCCGGAGTGGAGTTGGCCGCCAGCGAGGCCACGAGCGACAAGACGAGCGACACGGAGTCGAGCGGCACGGAGTCGCTTGCGGACCTCTCCGAGCGGTCCTCGAGCCTTCCCGAGGCGGGCATCGGGCTCCGTCGAACTGGCACGATCGCCCGCGACGAGGGCGAACACAAGCGGCGCTTCCCTCGACGACTGCACGCCTGGCCGGCCTCGGCGGCCGCGAGCCCCTACGGCCAGGGCATCTGTCGCAGGGCGCCGCACCTCGACGGGAGCCAGAGGGCCCCGCGCGCCGCGTCCCTGCAGCAGGCCGGCAGCGAGCCAGCGCCCACGCGCCCGGTGGCACGCGCCCGGGCGGTTTGCGGCGGGCTCGCCGCGCACCACTGAGAGAGAGCACGTGCCGCTGGGGGTTGGCTCCTGTCGGGGGAGGAGTGGGGATATGGTCGGGGAGTGGGCTGAGGTACCCGCGATGTTTGAGCGCCTGGTGGCGGGTCTTCGTCGGCGAAGTCCGCCCAGCTTTGGTAGCTCCTATTTTTCTGAAGCATCGACTGTCCAGGTCGTCTAGGCCGTGCAAGCTGGTGTGCAGCAGTGGCTATAAGTTTGTTGCGTGACGGTGTCCCCTGCCCACAAGTCGGTCGGTGGCTCGCGCCCGCCCTGGGGGCCCTGATGACAGGTACTGTTTTCCGTCGGCACCGCCTGGGGCCTGCCCTGAGGGCCCGTCCTGCCCCGAGCGTGTGGCCACCACCACTCAGTTTCTTTGTTGGCCTGGCGCGGTTCGCGCCATGGCACAGGCCACACCACTCCACATCATCAGTCCATCCCCCGCACCTCTTGCAACTCCTTTTGAGGGAGTGGCCTGTGCCACTGTAGTCAACAATCTGCGGTGTTGCTTTTAAGTCCAAGCTTCGAGTGCTGATGGCCCATGGCGGAGTGGCATGGCGCGGTCCGGCCCGCATCAGTTGTGGATCCAGCTGGTCTACACTGGACTCATCATCCTCCCTCGCTGGTCTTCGTCCTACGGAGTCAACGCGGATCTCGCAGGCACGTACTGATTTCTCGGGTCAGCGTTGGAACCCCAGGTTGATGGCACCATGCCCCGTGCAGATTTCAGAAAGTTCCGGCCGCGGTCGGGCAGCAAACGACTGCACCAGCGTCCTGTGCAACGCAGAGCGCGGCATGTTTGTCCCCATCGTTGTTCTAGTCAAGTGAATTGCGTCGGCGCAACAGACGTCAGTTTACGTAGCTCGTTTTCTGCATAGGCCGATTCTGCCCGATCATGCGTGGGCCGAAGCAAGTACAGCCAGCGCTGTCTTGCAATGCCTGTGCCGCACCAGATCTGTATCTTTTTAAACGTCAAGGAAATTTGCCAGGCATGCACTTCGTCGATCGCCCACGCGTCCGTCAGGATGCTCGGTTGTGAGGGTGCGTATGACTAGAATTCGTGTCCAGGTAGCTTTGCGATTTTACTCGCAATCGTTCCAAAAGCTTCCAGCCGCGGCTCCGCGCGGGAGGCGGCCTGCGCCCCGGCGGCCGGAGCCGTGGGGCGGGCGGCGCCGGCGGGGCCAGGGGCGCCGCGCGCGCCGCCGCCGTCGCTGCGGGGGGCCTCGAGGCCGCGGCTCCTGCCGCGGCCCGCCTCTGCGCCGGCCGCGCCCTCCCCGCCCTCGCCCTCTATGCCCTCCTCCTCCCGTTCCTGTGGAGGAGCGTGGTCCGCGGGGACCGCGCGAAGCTGGCGCCCAGGGGCGGGCACGGGCCGGCAATCCCGGGGGCCAGCGACGACGATCTATAGTTGGGTGGAGCCGTACGGACGTAGTGCAACAGCTACGGACATAGTGCAACAGCTACGGACATGTCGGGGGCCACGATGGGGGGGGATTAGGCAGAAAGGGGGGGATGCATCAATCGCCCGTGGATCGCCGGTACGGGCCCGATAGCCCCGCCCCGCCCAGGAAGGTGCGGATTCACTATCGGGGGCCTGTCGCCGATCTATCGACGATCTATCGCCGATTCCAGGTCGATGCATCCCTCCTGTGCCTATTCCCCCCGATCGTTGCCCCTCAACATGACATAAAAAAACGCCATAAGCATAAACTTTTGGTGCTCCGTGCGGATTTCTTGGATCCGCGCTGGGCCGCCCCGCCTCTGGCGCGCTCCGCGCGCCAGGGAGAGGGTTTGGCGCAGATCCACGAATTCCGCGCGGAGCGCCAACAGTTTACGTTTATGTTGTTTTTATTTTTTCTTTTCATGGATCAAGCAGCACTCCTGTTGTTGAGAGGACGTGTGCAGCAGGTTCACTCCGCTTCTTCGCCGGCTCTAGAAGGACCTCGGCTTCCTGTGATCCCCTTTCGAGTCCATAGATGCTCACTTGATTAAAAAGTTTTGGCGTTGCCGCCCAGACTGGAATACAGATGGCCTGGCTCAGGCGCGGTCCCTGCTCGCTCGATTGGTACAGTAGCTTCCCGTCTCTTTCACGTTGTGGTGTAGCCGATGCCTCATCTATTTTGTGCACTCGTGTCTGGTCTCATGTTTCGATCTCCTCGGACATGGCATTGTTTACCAACCGCCCCTGGTACTCTCAGTCAAGTGGGACTCCGAGAAATGCGGAACGAGACATGCCTCCTCATTTCCAACCCTTCTGTATGTCGGGTCCTCGTTTTGAGTTCGCAGCGCTGCGCCCCACCTCCTGTTCACCTCCGTCTCCAATTTTCCCTCGTCCTCCTTCTGCTCCCAAAGCTCGTCTGTGTGTGGGGTTCTCGTTTCGAATCCGCAGCGCCGCGCTCCACCTCCTCACCTTCTCCTCCGCTTCTCCTCTTCCTCCTCATCCTTGTCATTCGCATCGTCCTTGCCGTCGTCGTCGTCGTCGTCGTCATCGTCGGCATCATCATCATCATCCTCATCATCATCGTCATCGTCATCGTCATTGCCAACAGCAACATCATCATCACCACCATCATCATCACACTCATCGTCAGCATCGTCATCATCATTATTATCATCATCATCGTCGTCGTCATCGTCATCGTCATAATCATCATCACCATCATCACCATACTCATCAACATCATGATCATGATCATGATGATTATGATGATGATGATGATTATGACGATGACGACGACGATGATGATGATAATAATGATGATGACGATGCTGACGATGAGTGTGATGATGATGGTGGTGATGATAATGTTGCTGTTGTAAATGACGATGACGATGATGATGACGAGGCTACCGACGCTGCGGTACGCCACTGCTCAAGACCTGTTGAAAATGATCATCCCCCCCTCCCCCCCGGATCCCGACTGCCATTAATTCGCCGCTGGATAATTATTTTTAAACTGCCCCCTGGAAAAGATTCCACGGGGACCGGACGATGCGATCGATACATGCACACATGTATGTTTGTATACATATATGCGTATACAGGCACACGCGCAAGCATTGCTGTATGCGCATGAGCTGTATGCGTGCAGATGTGCAAGCTACTTCGGTCGACGAGTAGGTAATTTTCGCCTTACTGGGACACTGTACGTACGTACTCGCGCGACCGCGCGCGTGCGCGCGGTGGCGTCCAGTTCTCGCGCGCGGTGTGAGGCTGATTGGCCTTATGGTGGCTATCAGTATCCCAAATTTACATTGTTTTTTTTCCGCACGCGGTTTCGGGGGTGACACGTGTCACCCATTGTTTTGTTGTGAGGCTCAATGGTTCTCTGTTGTTTCCCAGTACCACAAATTTGCATTTCGTTTTCTATCACGGTTACGGGGTTGGCACGTGTCGTCCGCTGTTTTTTTTTGAAGCAGAATGGCCTGATATTGGTTCCCAGAGTCCCAAATTTACAATTGATTTTTCTCAGAGAGTTTCGGGAGAGACACGTGTCGCCCGGTGGGTTTTGTGAGGCTGATTGGCCTTATTGTGGTTCCCAGACTCCCAAATTTACAATTGGTTCTTCTCACGCGGTTTCGGGGATGACACGTGCCAGCCGTTGTTTTTGTGAGGCTGAATGGCCTTATGGTGGCTCCCAAAATCTCATATTTATGATTCGTTTTTCTCACACGGTTTCGGGGGTGACGCGTGTCACCCGGTGTGTTTTTTGAAGTTGAATGGCCTTATGTTGTTGCCCAGTATCCTAAATTTACAACTCGTTTTTGTCATTTTCGGGGTGATTCGTGTCGCCCGTTGTTCTTGTCAGTTTGAATGACTTTATGTGCCCCCCCCAGAATCTAAGCATTACAATTGGTTCTTCTCACAAGGTTTCGGGGGTGACGTGTGTCTGGACGCGGAGAAAGTCATGGCATTGATGATGATGATGATGATGATGATGTTGATGATGATGGTTATGCTGCTGATGAGGATGATGACGTCGACGGCGATGGCGATGACGATGACAATAATGATGATGTTGCTGCTGGTGCTGATAATGATGATGATGATGATGATGATGGTGCTAATGCTGATGATGATGCTGATGATGATGATGATGATGAGGCTGACGATGATGCCGATGACCGTTGTGCTGATGATTATGATGATTCTGCAGATGATGATGATGATGATGATGATGATGATGCTGATGATGATGATGACGATGTTGATGAGGTTGATGATCATTATGCCAGTGGTGGTGATGATGGCGATCCTGATGTTGATGCTGCTGATGATGTGGTTGATGACGATGATGAGGATGCTGATGATGATGATGATGATGATGACGATGGCGATGGCATGGCGATGACGGTGACGACGACACCGACGACTACGGTGGTGATGGTGATGCTGATGATAATGGTGGTGATGATGATGGTAATGGGAACTGCTATGATGATGGTGATGGTGATAATGCTGCTGATGATGATGATGATGATGATGATGATGATGGCGATGGTGCGGATGATGATGCCGATGGTGATGATGATGATGTTGTTGATGATGATGAAGATGATGAGGCTGCTGCTGATGATGATGATGATTGAGGCTGAGGCTGAGGCTGATGATGATGATGATGCTGATGATGATGATGATGATGATGATGATGATGATGATGATGATGATGGTTGCGCCCCACGGTAATGACTCGACCTCGACGTCCGTCCGTTGCCCATCATATTCTCGGTTCAAGACAGAACCTTCTAC